GAAATGGGACCAGCGTGGCGTGTTCAGTTTTGGTCTGTGGGAGGTGTGCACTGGTGTCAGATTTGTGGGGTGTGTTACAATTGACACCACTACAGGTCAGTCAACACCTTTAGAAATGTCTAACAAAAATTTTCAACCATTTTTTTTTTTTTGCTTTATTTTTATGTTTTTATGGATATGTTCCCATTTCATGTGGGATGCTAAAAAAAAAAATCTATCCTAGGGTTTATAACCCCACCCTACCCCCCACCCCCCTCACTAGCCGAAACAAACACTGGTAATGTGGTTTTACAAAATTAACCGCTCGTCCGAACAAAACAAAAAAAAATTTCCAGAATTCAACTCGATAAAACAACTAATTTTGATTGTTTTTTTTTCAGATAGTTTATTAGCATGCCGTGCTTTTGCTCTGCTAGCCATGATATTTGGAGTTGTGTCGGTCGCTCTCTCGTTTCTCTTCATATTCCAGCAGGCTAGGGGAAGTGACCCAAACAAGTTATTCCCCATGATTTCTGCTGCTTGTGGGACAGCTACTGGTATTGAAAACTATATTTTACAATACTGTTATGTACATATGGGCATAAGGGGAGCAGATCTATCTCCATAACAGCTACCCAAGTCATCCCCGATATATTACACCCAAGATAAATGCCCCTACTGCAGTTACCTGCTACAGGACATTACCCCCCCCCCCCGGACATTTTCCCCAGGACATTTCTCCCCCCCCCCCCGTATTTATCCTCCTGAGCAATTAACCCCCTGTCAATTACCCCCCACCCCCCCCCCACCCCTGATTCTAACTCAAACACTATACCTACATATTACCTTAATCCTAACCTTAAAACCAAGGCGAATAACCTGAGAATTCACATCAACCTAAAATTAACTCAAAACCAAACCCAACTCTAGACATTGATTTAAGCCTAACCCTGGTCCTAACAATAACTCTAGCTATAACCCTAACCCTAACCCTAGCCCAAACCCTAGCCCTAGCCCTAGCCCTAGCCCTAGCCCTAGCCCTAGCCCTAGCCCTAGCCCTAGCCCTAGCCCTAGCCCTAGCCCTAGCCCTAGAGCTGAACCTTAAGCTATGACCGGGGGTAATGTCCTACTGGTCGGGGGGTAATTGACAGGGGGTAATGCCCTGTTGTTCCCGCAGTTACCCCCCCCCCCCTATAAAAAACGATGCAGTAGGATATTAACCCCTGTCGATGAAAAAAATAACCCTAAACGTAACCCTATTCAGAATTTATTTTTGGGTGTTTGGCTAATGCCTAATGTCGAACTCTGTCAGGACACACCCCCACACCCCTCTTGTTCGGCTCTATACATGCCGTTATCTGTAGTAATCATCGCAATTACATTATTTGTTCATTGATTTGGTTTGTTTACTTGGGCAGTGTGTATTAAACGTATGACCTGTAGTTGTGCTATTTCTGATGTTGTTAGTGTGTCCTGTGTTTGTTCTTGTGTCCTGTGTTTATGTCCTGTTTTCGTTAGTGTGTCCTGTGTTTGTAATGTTTGTCTTGTTTTTTTTTTATTGCGTCCTGTGTTTGTCATTGTGTCTAGTGTTTGTTGGTGTGTCCTGTGTTTGTTGGTGTTTCCTGTGTTTGTCATTGTGTCATCAGTTTGCTAGTGTGTCTTGTGTTTGTTATTGTGTCCTGTTTTCGCTTGACATGTGTATCCTGTGTTTGTGGATGTGTCCTGTGTTATTTAGTGTGTCCTGTATGTTCACATATGTTATGTTTGCGTTATGTCCATGTAGCTCCCTAGCGCACGTCAACTCACCATTCACACCCCTACTTTTCAGTCGTCTGTATCATCATTTGTGTGATCGTCTGGATGTCCGAACTTCACAACGCGAACACGGACATGGGCTACTCCTTTATCCTGACCTGTTTTGGGGGCTTTCTGGTGCTCGTGGGGGCCGTTTTATCTTTTGCCAGTTGTCAGGGCACCGGATACCAACTCATTGGCTAATTTTTTTTTTACCAAAAAAAAAAAAGTTAAAAAAAACAAATCTCATACAGCGTTGAATTCAAGTCATCGCCTAATTTAAAAAAAAAAAAAAACCTCCTATACCGAGTTCTTTATCCTGCTGAAATTTAGATTTAGAAATTTTTTACTTAATTGTTTGCAAATGTTTACATAAGTCTATTCATTCAGTTTGATTTATTGTTTTATATTTTTTTTTACATGTTTCTATACATTTATACACTCTACAGAAAATATCAGCGATTTCGTGTTTGTGTTGTTTTTTTAAATAACCACACCCTAGGAAAATTACAATGCAAGTCTGGTGATATTGCTAGTTGGTTTACGAAGATTTATATAGTGGTATTTATTTTTTGGCAGTGACACCAAATCCAAAAATGCTAAATTATTTTAAATTATATCAGTTACCGCACCGGACGACACCCAACCTAGTGACGCCACGATGTTAGTGGCTGTTATATTATAAATGATAACTTGAAATCCACTCTTCACACCGAATGCTATACATTTCTTCAAATACTAAATTCCTCATGAAGTGTAATTACGGTAAATGGAGACTATATGTAATTTTTTGATATATCGTAACGACTGTATTCTTATGGCGTGTAGTGTGTTAAGTCGACACATCAAGTCGCTGAGCACTTAAATCAGGCCCACCCTCCATACTAGAGGAATGAGTCATTGAGTAAGGGATCTGATACAAGACATACCCTCAACACTAGAAGAATTCGTCATGGAGTAAGTGCTTTTAATCCCAATAAGGCAACTTCTTAAAGAAACTATATATAGGTCTATGGAAAGTACTTTAAAATGTCCAGTGTGCCTGTTTGAAAAGAGGAAACATGGTACTATTTGTTTTTTTTTAAATTTAAACATCGACCATCTATACAATATCTACATTTTTAAAAAGTATTAAATAAGAAAAGTATAAAAACGTTTATAATAACAATCTTTAACAACAAAACTTATAACACTTTTTCATTAGTTATCGGAGTAACGTAATTATAAAAGGCCGGGTCAGTTAAGCGCATGTTGCTGAACCAAAAAGTCCAAAGTTCGAACCCCCAGGCAGTGGCGGAACTAGAAAAAAGGGGCCACCCCGCAAAAAAAAATGTTTAGGCCCCCCCCCCCCATATAAATATATAGGCCTATATATGTATATATATATATATATATATATATATATATATATATATATATATATATATATATATATATATATATATATATATATATATATATATATATATATACATATATACTTAAACACAACATACGAACATATGATACTTATTCATGCTGGCCTGTTCCTGTTATGAGAAATACGTGGGTTTTTTTTTTTTTTTTATTAAAACAAATTACAACATCACATCATGAGTGTAAGTGCATTAGTCTGTTTTGTGAGAATCAGTTTAATATTATCTCTGCCGTAAATCCTCATATTGGTCAAAAGAATATAAAACATGAAAGCTTTCTGTAAATAATGGTGTCTCGTGTCATGTTTATTTTTATGTTTTTTCATATTTATTTTATTAATTTTGAATACATTTTCTTTTTATACCGTGTCATTCTTTAGTAAGTAATTTATAAACAAATAATATTAAAGAGAAGTAATTGCTTTTTAATTCGTTTAGTACAAATCTATTAAAAAGAGGCTTATGAGCATCACTGTTTGACTATTTAAAAAAGGGAAATAAGTCATGGAAGTGGTTTGAACGTTTGCTATCTTTGATAAGTTTCATTGTAGTAGAAAGAGGACTCGGTTTTCACAGTGGTTTAAAAACGAAGGAAAAATGAGCGTGGAGTAGTGTCTATAGAATAAAGATAATCCAACCGCAGCTACGGTAATCTTTTTTACAAAACAGACATTAAATCAAAAATGCAAGAACATTTTTTTTAACAATTTTTTATGGTCGGCCGTGGGCCCCTAAATGGGGTGGGCCCCCCCGCATTGCGGGGTCTGGCGGCACTGTAGTTCCGCCCCTGCCCCCAGGAGGATGAAGCTCGATAGCTGGGGAAAGCCACTCATCTAAGAGAGACAACTCCAAAAGCAATTATGACAAGTAATACTTAATTGTGTTTGAAGGAATCTCTACCAGTATTCTAATTAAGAACGAAGAAGTTCTAGAAATTGTTTTCAATACATTTGCACTTGAAAGCTAAAAATGTGTTAATAAGAAGGTTTTTAGATATGTTTAAAGTGTTCAAGTTCGTGTTTGAACGTGTCCATGTTTTTCTAATATATTTGCTGATGATCAGATAACACGTACGGCTACGTGTCGTTCACAAACAGATGTTTACGACAGATCCTCAAAATACGATGGCTAGACAAAATATTAAATAAAGACCTGGGGCAAAACACAAAACCAGAGGCGTAGCGAGGGGGTTACCTATGTCCTTGGGCGCCAACCCTAGGGGGCGTCAACATGGGTTGGAAAAAAAAATTAAAAGCTCATTTCAGCTGCAGTTTTGCATTATAAATATAAAAAATATAAGGGGGGCGCCAAATTGAAAGTTTGTCCCCGGGCGCCGGGAAGGGTCGCTACGCCTCTGCACAGAACAACAGCCAATAAATAAAGACACCAAAGCCTGTCAATGGGGATAGACAGGACATACCATGAGAAAGGGAAGAAAATAATATTAAATATTGCTAAGAAAGCTATAGACTGGAAACCCCAGGGAAGAAGGAAATTGGGCCGGTCTGAGAGTTTAGGTCATAGGACGGGATGTGATAGGACAACTGGTGTTAGGATGGTAGATCATGAGGTGTTTAGATAGTAGGTCATTTGGTGTTAGGATGGTAGGTCATTTTGGTGTTTAGATGGTAGGTCATGTGGTGTTTGGGTGGTAGGTCATGTGGTGTTCAGGTGGTAGGTTTTTTGGTGATAGGATGGTAGGTCATGTGGTGTTTGGATGGTAGGTCGTGGGGTGTTACGATGGTAGGTCATTTGGTGTTTGGATGGTAGGTCATATGGTGTTTGGATGGTACGTCATTTGGTGTTTGGATGGTAGGTCATGTGGTGTTAGGATGGTAGGTCATGTGGTGTTAGGATGGTAGGTCATGGGGTGTTTGGATGGTAGGTTATGTGGTGTTTGGATGGTAGGTCATGTGGTGTTTGGATGGTAGGTTATGTAGTGTTTGGATGGTAGGTCATGTGGTGTTTAAATGGTAGGTCATGGGGTGTTTGAATGGTAGGTTATGTGGTGTTAGGATGGTAGGTCATGTGGTGTAAGGATGGTAGGTCATGAGGTGTAAGGATGGTAGGTCATATGGTGTTTGGGTGGTACGTCATTTGGTGTTTGGATGGTAGGTCATGTGGTGTTTGGATGGTAGGTCGTGGGGTGTTACGATGGTAGGTCATGTGGTATTTAGATGGTAGGTCATTTGGTGTTAGGATGGTAGGTCATTTGGTGTTAGGATGGTAGGACAATAATTAAACATCAAACTGAATGGGATTTTTTTCCTTAATCCTTTCACCAGAAACATATTGGCCATTGGGTTTAGTGTACACACGAAGATTTTTATGATGGGTCGTTCCTTAAATGACGTCGTGCTTTAAAAAATATTTAAACATTACATCACACCTCACCCAACCCCCCCCCCCCCCCCACACACACACACACCCTAAAATTGACGTTATAAATTATATTATAATTATATTATAATTATACGAATTTATAGTCAACATTACACATCCCTCCCCTCCATCCCCATTAACAGTGTTTATTTTGACACAGGAACTTCTTTCTTAATTATTAACTGAGGTGGGTCAACATTAGGTTCTTGAAGAGTGTTTTATTTAAACTGACCAACTTCTTTCAAGAAACAAACCACAAATTCAGTTTCGAAAAATCACTTGTAAAATTGCGACGACCCCGTCCATGTTGCTGACTGGGTATATCGCATTATTTCAAGTAGGCCTAACTATTGATGGCCTATTTGCTTTTTCTATTCCAAAGTTACATTTTATATAGATCTAATCAGAGTATCTTTCAGGCATCTCTTCGGGGGGGGGGGGGGGGGGGGGGGGCAAAGCCCCCCCCCCTGAAAATTTTTTACCGCCCCCCCCCGCCCCCCCCCCCCGAACGATATGAAATTTATATAATTTATATAGAAAATATATACTTTTAACAGTGTCCGCCCCCCCGAAGAAAGTTTACCGCCCCCCCCCCCCCGGAGAAAAAAGTCTGGAAGAAACACTGGATCTAATTGTGCGTATAATCTGACGTAATCACTTGATAGTAGTCTTTTTATAGGATCTATGAAAAAATACTAATATTATGTTGCTCGCGATTGTGAGTTGGTAAAAAAAAAATGATTGCTGTACCTGTACCATCTTAGACAAAAACTGTACTCTAAATATAAAATTATAAATTAAAAAAAACGAATGTTTAGCTTTACAATACGGAAGTTATTGTTTGGCGCGCGTTGTTAGTGTCAGCAAATGATAATCTAACTAAACTAAACCTACACTGAAGAAATTGATAGATCTAGATCTAGATCTAAAAATCTAGATATATAATTAATAATTAATTATATATCTAGATCTATATCGTTGTAAAATCAGCTTAACCATGTCAAACAATGCATATAATCCTGATATACTTCCAGACCTTTTACCACTCTATTACAAAAGGTTGTTTCCATACGGACCGTATTTCAGATGGTTGAATTACGGCGGAGGTAGGAAAGAATTTTTCAGTGCAGTTTGAGTTTAATTTTAAGTTTGGTGTCAGACTAGTTTTATGAGTCGTATTTAAAAAGTGTTGCAAGTTACTGTAAGATACTGGTACTAAACTAAATCCAAATACTACAACATGACTAGTACTGAACTAAACTAAAAATCCAAATAAAATACTCACACTGCAACTGGTGGGAAGGGAAACCGTGAGAATAGGGGAGAGTTTAGACTTTCGAACTCCAGAGATAGATAAGGTTCATTAGCTGGAGCGAGTAACCCATCTAAGAGAGAAAACTTCAAAATCAAACAACTGTGGTATTGTAGATTGTTCTTGGGTTGACGAAGGCTATGTTCAATATTTTGTATGAGTTGAGTATGACTATGAAAGCAAATCTAGATCTAGATTCTAGACACTTAATACTTGTGTTGGGGGAAATCAATATTAGAATGAACAACGAAATAGAATGTTAATCCATAGTCTAATCCAAGTCATACAATAGACGATCTTGATGATACTAACAACTAGAGCCTAATTTCTGACCCCAACACCATTACAATACTACGAAAATAAATTGAAGTAACTGCCCGGAGAAAGCCTTTTCCCCCTAAGCTCTATCTAGCTGACAAAGGATGCAAAATGCAACGACCTAAATATCAATGCAATGGGCTCAAATTAAATACTATGAAAATGATTAGCCTAATAGCTGCACAATGTGATCAATTACTCTTTTAGCTTTATTCTTCTCACAAAACTATATGTATCGTGTGGTCGAGCAGTTGCACTTCGGGGGGGTCGTCAGGGGTTGAGGGTTTACAGTATAGCTAGCTGGTTAATCCTAGTCCCATTAAGACAAAACATAGGCCTAAACAGCGAACATGTAGATGACAAGAAAAACCAGGTAATCGTAGAGCTATGCGCATGTACATCTTTTTCGGTCAAAAAAATAAACAGACCTGTTTTCAGTAGAGTATGTTGTCTAACACTGGGTGCACCATTACTCAGTGACAGTGGTTATTTTCCCTTAAAAAAACATTTTAGAAGGGTCAGTTTGATTTTTTTAAATATGCCCATTACTTATTAGAAAAGCCTCCTATTTATATTTAAAGCATTTTTTTATATATATATATACTTACATGAATAAATATTTTGTTGCGTATCTAATGTCTAGTGCCAAAAACTTACTTCAGCCATAGAGAGTTCTCCTTCACACTGGAAGGTGATGTCTACATTCGTTACATGTCTTTCTCGGACCAGCAGGAACTAGAGAAAGAGATGGTGAAAAAATGTCCACATAAAATCGACATTGGGGCTGTATATTCTCACAGGGTATTTTTTTTTAAACCTTATTAATTTAATTTAATCTCTTCATTGCAAAATTTCATGATTTCATACTTTTGAGATACATTTGAGTGTGTGCAAATTTACACCCCATGACGAATGCTTGCCCATTCCAGAAACACCACCAATCATCTTGATGCTAGTCTATTACCCTGTCTGCTGAAAATAAGCCTTCTTTTTAAAAAAAACTAAATTGTTCATTGATTTTTCTAAATAAAAGCAGTCTTGCTAATGTATATCCAAATTTCAGCCCAAAGATAACAAGACTGTCAAGTCCACGGCTTTTCAAGCTTTAGAAAAAGAGCTTGTGTTTGATATTGACATGACAGATTATGATGATGTTCGCTCTTGTTGCTCGTAAGTGATCGATAAAATAATTTAGTTGGGCAGTCTTTTTTACTTTGATATCTCAGGATCTGTTTTAAGCCCCCCCTCTGACTAGGGGCTTCTTGAAAGCATTTTTAAATTTTAATTAGATTTCCTGATTAGTTTCTTTAATAATTAATGTCCGTTACATTTTGGGTTTATTTAGGTAGTGCTGATCCTCTTATCTAATCTGTTCTGTACTATTCACAGAGGTGCGGATATTTGCTCCAGGTGCTGGCCTCTGATGGTGATGGCTGTCAAAATTTTGGATAGAGCCTTGAGAGGTTTGTTTCGCAATTATATAAGTTATTGTTTTTTTAGTTTTATTCATTCCTTTGCCCTGTAATATTTTTTTATACTGCCCTAATCTATCTGCTGGTTGTAACTTATAAACTTGTTAATGCTGACTGGTTTCCTTTATTTCAGATGACTTTGGTTTCCAGCATTTGTTGTGGGTTTATTCTGGTCGTCGTGGCATCCATTGTTGGGTCTGTGATGAGGCTGCCAGGAAATTGTCGGCTCAGGGGAGATCAGCTATTGCAGAGTACTTGACTCTGGTTAAGGTATTGTGAAATCTTGAACTGTCAACTTCTTAAGTTCTGAAATTCTAAGATAGTTTATGTTGAGTTTATCTTGGCACTAGCTAATTAATATTCATTATGAGTGGCATGGTATTTGTATAATTTAATCATGTTTTGTATAAGTGGCAATGTATTTGTATAATTAAATCATGTTTTGTATAAGTGGCAATATATTTGTATAATTTAATGATGTTTTGTATAAGTGGCAATATATTTGTATAATTGAATTGTGTTTTATATTAGTGACAAAATATTTGTGTAATTTCATTGTGTATTTTCTCAATAAGGGTGGAGAAAATGTTTCCCGAAAAGTTTCCTTACCAGACAGACTTCACCCCTCAATTAGGTAAATATTGAAGGATATTTTGATTCAGTTTTTTTCATCCTTTACTTTCTTGAAGGCACTATTTTGGCATTTTAATGGACTTTATTTCTATTTTAAATGTCAGAATATTTTTCAATCAGCTTTCTGTTTGTGTAGAAATTTTAATTGTTTGGGTTTTTTTTTAATACTTTTGAAGTGTTAAGATTTACATTAAATTTAGGCTTGATGCTGCTGATATTAATAAACCGGGAGTGATCTCCCCTAAACTTTCTCGAATATTCTTATATAAAATAACAGGGGATGGGAACTTGGGCTATAGACATGATTTTTAATCCATTTTAAATACTTAAAGTTTTAAAAATAGAATAAAATCTCGTAGACAAATTAATTGCACACCAAGTGAACGCCCAATAAAAAAGCGCATAATAGTGCGCAATATTATTAGTACTTTTAAAATTTACATTAGTTTTTTGAGAAATCGGAAGTAGCGTAAATTACTACTTCCAGTCAACGGAAATTACTCAAAATTTAACAGAAGGTAGAGAATTAGATCTTTTACTTACATGTGAAATTTCATTTATCTATCTGAAATAGTACTCAAGTTGAAGGCTTTTGAAAAATTCAAAGTAGGAAAAGTACCACTTCCGGTTATCGGAAATCGCTCAAAAGTTGATTCGGATCTACGATTTTGATATAATACTTATATATGAAATTTCATCAACCTAGCTGTAACGGTACTCAAGTTATCGTGTTTACACACGGACAGACACACACACACACAGACATACGGACAAGATTGCAAAATTATGTTTTTCCGTATCAGTGAGGTGTAAAACGTCGAGATCTGTAAAAATCTCGATTTTTTTTTTTTTGCACGATTACAATACTTTTTCTATACTGCGTAAATACGAGAAAGTAAAAATGTTTTAGTTTGTGTCAATGAAGTTTTCACTATCCTGGTCGGCCGTTTTAGCTATTACCTTTTAGCCAAGAGATCTCAGATACACAATCACACTCCTCTCCATGCCCATACCTTCCCATTTTAAAAATAAATTGTCTGCTTTAAACCCTTGTGTGGGTGTAGATTTGTGTGACTTTTAGTGTTGACTCAAGTCTAATTTAAATGTAATCTTAACAATTTGATATAATTGTGTTTGCAGACATGCTTTGGAAGTCATTGACAAACATTTTAATGACTATGCTGTGAAAAAACAAGACTTTCTTGACTGCGAGGAAAAGTGGTCAAAAATTTTAGCCATAGTGCCTTCAGAAAATATCCTTTTTTAACAATACTTCAATAGCCGGAGAAATAATTTTCCACTTTTTTCTGGAAATCCACTTATTCTATTTGAGGAAAATTTTCCTCTGAAAAAAAATTGTTTTTTTCTACAGACAGTTTTAAAAAAACGGAAATCTTTTCAGCCCAATGTAAATTCATTCAGTTACTATGTTATTCAGTCTACTATGTAAACCTATGGTGACTCTGTTAATCTCCTATTACTATTTAAAATTAATATTTATTTAAAGAGTAATCCGCACACTGATAATACCTCTTGAATTAACACCCAATTTTTCATATAGTGTTAAAGTTTGTCAGAGGTTGCAGGCAATCATGATGAGTGGAGCTGTAGACGGAGCTTTTTTTATTTCATTTCTGGTGTGGTTGTCTGGATATATGGGTTAGGGTTGAAATTCGCCTAATTTACGCGACGAAATAAATGAACTACTGCTAGGCTGTACAATAAAAATAACTATACCATTGTCCGCTTTTTCTTTGGTGGACAGCTCTGATTAACGTTATTTAATATTAGGCTCATTGTATTGTTAAAAATACATTCTTTTATTAATGGTAATGTCTCTTTAACATTAGCTACCAGTCAGAGCTGATGTGGAAGATTTTTTTGATAGGTTGGGTAAAAACACGTCAACACGGTGGACTATTTTGCAGAACCGGTTAGAGAAAGGCCATTTAGTAAGTTAATCTTGTCTGTTAAGCCTTATCCAAAATAATTTTTTCTGCTTCTAAAAGCTATGTTTTGCCATACTTAATTAGGTTTAATGATCCACATATTTTTCATTCTGTCCCTCTTCAGTTTGCTGAAATCATTTTTGTTGAGAAAATAGTTTATATATGTACACATAATTCAAGCTAAAGAGCTTTTTCTTTATGTCAACAAGTGGCTTGTTTACGATACAACAGCCATTTTGACAATAATGCTACATAATTAGTCATATTTTTATTTTAGGCTTTTTGTGATGAAAGCATTTTTGAGCTTAAATAAATTCACATCTACCCTCCTTATCCGAGAACTACAGTTTCTTTCATTGTTCCATTTCCTAGATTGACGCAAAGTTCAAGCCATACGTCCTTGAGGAGATTAAGCTACAGTTGTGCTACCCCCGGCTGGACATTAACGTCAGTAAAGGAATCAACCACTTGCTCAAAAGCCCATTTTGTATTCACCCAAAGACTGGTGAGCCAATGTCTTCACTTCCTGTTGTTGTTTTTAGTTTTAGATTAACCATGTGGGTAGTACATAAATTATCTCTCCTGGAGCTCTTTTTTTTTTTTGGAGTTCAGAAAGTGATTTTTTAAATTATTATTTTAAAAGTAAAATGACATCTGTTATGGGGTTTCGAGTTGGGGGGGGGGTTAAATCATCAAGCATATTTTTAGGTACAAATACTTTGAAGCTTCAGAGAATATTTAGCTTTTTATTTTTAAAAATGTTGATGATAATTCTTTGATTCATGTGGTGTACTTAACAGATCTTTACATTTTTTGTTACACTCTTCTTTGCTGTACCACAGGAAAAGTTTGTGTACCCATGAATCCTAAGACTATTGATGAGTTTGATCCAGATTCAGTGCCTACAATAAGGTATGGTTTTGTATTGTGTAATTATAAACTCGTAGCACTGATTATATAATATGCCAGTTGGGGAAAAACAATGTAAAAGCTCCCAACTTAGCCATATGACAGTTCAGTGGTAAACTGAAAGACCTATCATGATAAATGTGAAACAAAAGATGTCATTTAGAAAATTGATCTTTCCTGCCAGACAAATGTTCTCAACATTTTGTTATTCTGCTGCTGTTACAGATAAGTGATTAGAAAATCAATATTATCATTTTATAAATTCTCTAGTTTATGCACATGGTACCACTAAAACATTTTCTTTTTTTTTAGTGTTCTTTTAGATGAACTTGATAAAATAGATGTATCTGAGGATGAACAAGGAAAAAAGTTTAGAGGTTTGTTGGTTGTTTTTTCTATATAAACCATCCATTTCTGTTTGATGCTGTTTAGACATTAAGTATTGTCCTAATCTCAAAGTCAAGTTCTTTTTCAAGATTGTCACTTTGCACCTGAAAAGAATTTTTAGTATTGTAGTCCTATGCATCCTGAAACAAAATATCATTTTCATTTTATAACTACAATAACACTGCCAGAAGGAATTTAACCTAACGCTATATGTATATTTTTAATGTTCTGGGGTTTGAAAAAAAAATGGTTTGATACAATTCACAAGGTTAAATGGAAGCCCTGCTTTTGATTCTTGGGTTGTCGAGAGTTAAATTCAACCAAGCTACTGGCTATTTATCAGAAGCTAAAAGGATGTAGAATAATTTTTGACATGTATTACAAAGTGTAATGAAAATCATTTTTTGGTAGAAGCAATTCTAACTAAAAGACAACTTTTTACTTCTTTTTAGTCCTAATTAATAGAATCATTGAGGTTTTTTTATGAGAAGCTTAAACTGAGAGGTATTTACATACAAATACTGGCTTTATTGTTTTAATTTTTTAATTGAATTTTGTCCATTAGATTACAGAAAAACAAGCCTAGGCCCCTATTTAGCAACATTTGAAACATTTCTCAAAAGTTTGGAGAGCTCACGGAAAGGAAAAACAATAGAACAGAGTGGTAAGTATTCATCTGTGTTAAGTTTTCATTCGTCATTTAACCTGGTTCTAGCACAAATCTTTTTTGTCAAGACATTTTAGAACTTTGACAGTATGCTTAACCAGCTTCTATTTTATCACTTTTAGTTTAGAAATTCTGTGACACTGACCTAGGCTATAATGTAGTTTGTTTTTTTTTAAATTGATTTAAGGTATGATAAGGTTTTCAAATTTCAGATGTCAAAATGGAATTTTGAAAGCTGGGATGCACATTCAACAAAAACGTGAGCACCACCAGCGAGCTCAGAATGTTACTGTTTGAGGGACCATGTCTACAAGCAGTAAAGCTAAATATATTGGATCTATTGTGATGCCCCCCCCCCCCAGTTCCTAACTATAAGAATCCACAATGGGTGACTCTAGGCAAAACATGAAAAACAACAAACAGGAAGGAAATACACAGGAGAAAGCCATTAAAAATGAAGATTAAAGGAGGAAAATAAACATTTATTTAAGTTCATTGGTACATGTAAATATAAAAGTCTTGTATCCATGGTGAAAAAATTTATAAAAAAATTTTTAGTTATCACTGTTTTGCACCAGGAATGATTGAAAATAAATTTATCAAAAGCCAGTGAGATTGTTTTTCCCTTATTTACAAAAATTGTTTTTTTTAATATCTTTTTAGAAGTGATAATGTTACCTCAGTGTTTAAAAAATGAATAATAGACACAGCATAAGTACATATAGTTTTAATTACCATAACAAGACAAACTTAGATATATTGCAAGCCCAAAATTAAACCACTAGATCACTGCTCTATTGTTAGTGGGCTATTCAACAATCTTACATCCAGATGAGGGCTAAATTTGTCCTATTATGGCAACTAAATTGATCATGTGCATTAAACTTCTAATATGGAATAAACTACTCTAAAGTATGCAGTTTTGTTTTTACATAAAAGCACCAAGAAAATAAAATTCAAACAAAACTATACAAACAATATCAATCTGTGAATTAAGATAAAATGAGCCTACTGTTGTTGATTTACCCTTGTATATATTAGTTTATTCAACAATTATTAATTTGTCTTAAAATATTTCCAGTGCTCTATTTCTTTTCAAGTGGTGTTTGGATAGTGAAGTGCCAGTTAGGCCAAAATGGATTCCACTGCAACCATTTTATTTTAGAGCCAAATCGTATAATTCAAATAATTTCATTCCTGTTTTATTTTTACTGCAACGTTATTTATATTTTAAAAAATTCAGTGCACAAAATTTGAGCTACATCATCTAAATAAAAGGATTTCATTTGTATATACTTCTACAGCTAGTACATCACAGATACACTGAGCACAAGGGATCAAGTTGTTCAGTTAGTGACAATGTTGTAGCCAATGTCCCCTTGGGGCTTGAACTGAAGTGGCTGTCCGTGAACCAAGATGCTGTCAAATGGATTGTTCAGCTGAAAACAGATGTTCAAGTTACTCATTAAGCTGTTAAAGAGCCTGTTTTCATTAGACGCTAACACCTAACCAGCTGTCAGTGGCTCACAGATGTTCAAGTTACTCGTTAAACTGTTAAAGAGCCTGTTTTCACTAGACACTAACACCTAACCAGCTGTCAGTGGCTCCCCTTACCTGTTTAGGGCAGCTGTCCAGATTGAACATTTTCTCAAGTGTCTGGTACAGCAGGCTGACCACTTGCTCACTGCATGTGCCATGGAAGTTACTGAGACAAGATTCTTCTGCTGTGGCGATGCTGGTTTAAAAATCGTACGAATATAATTTAGTTTTGTGTGAAACATGATCTAAACTGAATATATATATTTAATTATGTTACATAATGATGAAAAACTAAACATTTTTAAAATTACCTATGATTGAACATATATTATGGTGATACTATATGGATTGAACTGAAAATAATTGTTTAAAATAAATTTCACTTGTACCTGCAAATGGTGGACTGGATGTTATCTTTGTTGAAACCAAAGAGTTGAATGCCCTGAAGTTTACCTGCGTAGCACTGCATAAACTCTCTCACCTGATCACTGTCCATGCACTGGGTTTCAATGAGTTCTGGGCCAGAGAGGAAATGTTCATTAGTTCTCTACTGTGGCCACTAGCACCACATATCATAATAATAATAGCAGCTGTAAATAGATTAACACCATGTGTAATGGCAGCTGTTAACAGATTTACACCCTGTGTCTGTGGTACATTATGTTCAACTGCAGCAAAAATACTATAATAACCATTCTTTAATAATATGTTCTAAAATATTTATTCGAGGTCATATACATTTTTAAACAATGAATGCACAGAATGGTTTCAACTTCTGCCTATTGCACAGCCGTGTATTACTTTGTCAGTAACTTGTATTTTGCATATACTATACAACAAAATAATACTTGAATGAGCTGGCAGTAAGTACTAAACAGAAGAAAAAGGTTTATTATAAAATTTCACAAAATTAGACTTGGGTTGTTATTTTATCGCTTAGAAGAAATGTACAGAAAATACAGAATGACTGATAGATCTGTGTTATTACACTAAAGTAAGTTTATTCAATCAACAGAAAAACTAAGTCAAGTTGAGTTGAATGTGTACTGTTTCCAATTGAGAAAAATTGTTCTTAAAAACTTAACAAAGCATTATATTGTCACTTTGTAATTCTCCAGTCAAAGTTACACATTTTTATAAATACTGACATTTCAAATTTGTAATGAAAATAATTATTGGTCAAATATTTCAAACTTTAGCCTGAAAAAAAAAGTTGCATGTGCATTCTATAAAATGCCAAGGTGAGTATCACTGAGGCTTTGCCTGTAATAAATACAATGCTGCTGAATATACAATCAATTTAAATAGCAAGGAAGCTGTGTATGATCTTAGAGTGTTTGTAGGTTATCTCTGTTTTGACTCAAATGAAAAAAAATGTCTTCTTATTAAAATGTTTGCACAGTTTCTGTGGCAATAACTCACTAATGTATTATGTAATATGGACGCTTTTAATTCAACACCACTATTAGGGATCCATGTACCCCCACGCAGATAGTTGTAATAGTATACTTTTTTTCCATTGAGCGAATGTGGACATTATAAACAAACTGCCCTACTTATTAACAGCAGCATCCCTTCTAAAGAGCAAAAGCACGTGTGAAATTAATTTTTTGTGCGTAGGGTGGCTGAAATAACATATAGCAGATTATGTGCATTTTACAAAATGCGCTGTAAGTTTACAAGTTAAGATGGAACACTGATAATGAGCAACAAACAGATTAGTGATTATTTAATTTAGAAAAAAAACGTTTTACCAGTCTTGTGCTGGCAAACAAACTGCAGCAGATTCTCAAGCCTCTGTTTGGAAGGCAACATTTCCAGCAGGATGTTCTGTTGCTCACTAGACAAACACTCAGTTGTTTTGGACTCTAGGCAAACAAATATGTCTGCCAGGGCCTTGATGTTGCTGAAACCAGAAGGCAAAAGATTTGTGAAGTGGTTGAGTGAAATACTTATTCAAATGGAAACATTTTTTTGCCTCTAATTACACAACATAAAGGACAAAGCTTTAAATTCATGGTCACTGACAAGGTAGCAAACTGTCGTGTTGTTTATTTAATACCTAGACCCAAGTATTTTGTCGGATCTGTGCTGAAGACTCGAGAGCAAGCAAAACTTGTTTTTGTCTTATACATGCATATCCCAAACAAGACCTTTTTACAGATATGAGACGGATACTTACAGTCACATGTTTTCGTGGGTTGATTCCAAATCTCTATGAGATGTGCATTATTATTTCTAATTAACTTTTTAAGAGTATGCAGAAGACGAAATGTACAAAATCATGGTTTTGTTTGTGGAAAACAATAGTGTTTCTCTCAGCCAACTGGATGAATGCCATTAGAAAATTAGGGATAGTTAATTACTTAATTACTTATGGGGTCTACTGAATTTACCCTAACATAATAAACAACGAACAGAAAAGACAAGAAAGTTTGTGTGCAGTAGTGTAAAAATATGTTGCATCCTCAAAGAAAACAGTGAGCTGCCTTCCATAGGCTGAGAGCAAGACTATATTTTTTCCCCCACTCCACATGCATATAGGATGGAACTGAAAATTGTTTAAGAAATTAATAGAGAACCAACCTGCAAATAAAATCTGAAGATAGCATGCCTTTTGGATTGTCCATGTGTTTCACTATCTCCACCATCAAAAACGGTTCATGGACAGCACATTCCATTATATCCTTCTGTATCTTCTCTTGTGTGAAATCACATGCTGATCCTAATGTTAGAGCAGAAGTTTTGTTTAAGCTAGCTTTAAAATGGGGGCAGGGTGAGAAATCCTAATAGGTAATATGTAATTACAAAAATTGATGTAAGATAACCTTTACAACTAGTATTTATCAAACTAATTTAAAAGGGATTATGTAGGCTTTTATATTTTTGAGATTATAAGAAAATTTCACTAAGTCAGACATTGTAAAATAAGTTCTCTCTTGTTAAAACCACAAACAATATTAGGACAAAATTTTCAAAGTAATTCTGTTTTAGTGCAGGCAGGGCAGTAGAGTATCACAATTAATTTGACCTAATTAATTAGCATAAAAAGCCTTCTATAATTTACTATTAGGCCTAATAGTTTATTTTATTACTAATAGATAATGTTTTGACAGTATTGGAGTTAACTGTCTGAAAAAAGGCTTTTCTGAAATTACTGTAAATTTGGTGTTGTATAAGGTTGATAGTAGTATTGTGACATCAGTGTAGTTACTATACTTAGTTCGTTTTAATTAGCTTAACTAGTTTATTTCTGCTATAAGGGTCAGGGCCATGGTTGTAGGACTTTGAGGTGAGGGTTAGTGTTGACTGTAAGTCAGTCATAGGCTATTATTAAGTGCAGGAAGTGGCTATCTGCCGCATTTGGACCCAGGTCCTAAATGAAACAAGGAAACATTTTTGTATTTTACAAAACATAAACGAAGTGACTACTCTGAAGAAGATTTTTGTCCCCAACGTCTCCACTTAGCTGGCAATAGATAGGTCTGCGCATGCGCAGTGACCTATGGCTAGGGTTAGAATGAGGATTAAGGATATGATTAGGGCTAGGGTTAGGGTTGGGGATAGGATTAGGGTTGGTGTTAGTTAGGGTTCGGCGATTGTAAACACACGCATGCGCAGTACCATCGAAAACATCGCCGCGATGGTCGAAAACATCGCCGCGATGGCAAGTCGTAGTTTCTCTCCATAGCGCATGCGCATCTTTTTCCGGCTAGCATCTGCCAAACATAAATCCTCCTCAAAATGTGAAATAATTATTAAAAATTCAAGGAGTGACCTGTTTTTCACATTACTAGTTGCGGGCGATTTTACGTACCTAAAACGATAGATCACCCTATTTTTATTTAGATCTAGTCTAGATCTAGAAATTCACAACTAGATCTAGATCTACAACAACTTTACAACTCAAGCACAACATGATTTTTTTAGTACCTGTACTTCGGCCAGAAACAGTAGAAAGAACCACACATGTGAAAACAGCTATAAAAATATGAGACATCATTTTCTGTCTTACAGACAAAGCCAATATCTCTAGTCAGGTTTCGCTCACAAAGTTAAGATTACCACAAAAACTTGATCAGCTGAATTTGTTTACATAGGTAGGTTTTGTTTACTGGCTAAAAGCGGAAATGCTTCGTACTCGTTACTGAATTATATTACGTGGTATCGACTTTGCTGTTTTCGATTACCCTACTTAAATTCAATTTCCTTAATTTTGTCTGCGAATGACTAAAACTAATTAAAATTAATTAAAATGATAAAGATACATTCAGAAAGATAGGGTATTGAGTATCAGGTTTCAAATGTGATTAGATATATGTAGCTGCTAAATTACACCCTCAAATATCTTTTAGCTTTTCCATAAATATTTAGCACGCAAATTGACGATTACTTTGACATGCCATACATTGCCTAGAGATCAATATTGTCATTGACGTATTGTCATCACTAGAATAAAAAAAAGTATCATAAATTTAAAAATTTATTTTTGCCTTTATGCTACCATATTAAAGCCGTTGCGCTGTGACATAATCCTTTTTGTTTTTGGACAGCAGGCTTATGTAAATAAGAAAAGTGTAGGCTACCAATTAGAATTTAATGTGAACATATTTTAATATAGACTATATGAAACAATTTTCTATTTGGAACAATGTTATCAAATAATGACCATAGATCCTACATTTATTTACATGGTTTGTAATTTATATTATTTAGGCGCCTCCGAAGCCTATATCAGGGTTTTATGGTTTGTAATTAAAGGCCTTCTGGAGCAAATTAAACATAATTTTACCCAAACAAATCAGCTTTGTCAATTGTCGAAAGGTCCATACTTTATTTAACTTACATTACGAGCTTACTAGTTATAACTTTTTAAATAAACACACACACACGCTCAAACGGATAAATCGATTTATTTATTTATTTTTGATGTATCGATGTAGAATGTTTAATGCTGCGTCGATACTAACAATGTTTATTATTTATAGGCCCATTACGTTATTGTTCCGTTTGACGAGGATCACTAGCATGCTGGGACACGACATTGGTCACATGATGTTGTCAGACTACTGCATTTTGCCTGCAGCCTAGCGTGTCTTTCAAGGCTACGCACCTGACTATGTAGTATAATCTCAAATGTACAGATCTAATTACCGTGTAGTAGATCTAATTAACGTGTACCAACGTTTGAGAGGGCCCACTTATTTAGATATTTGTGTTCTGGAATATTAAAGTACATTATGTAGAATCTTTTTTTCTGTACGGGGAAATCCCTTAACAACCGTACCTTTTCCAGAGTGATAAAAATATTAAATTCTCATGTAGAGAATACGTAGGCTACTTTAATTATTTTTGTCGTCGTCCACTCCACACTCCCCTCTCCGGAAGTTTCATAATTCCGCCCCCCCCCCCCCCCCCCCCACACCGCCTCGGGAGATCCCTTCAGCTACTATAGACCTATTATTAGTGGAGCAGTCAACAGGTAATAAATAATTTGAAAACCATCCACACGTTTACCAGTTATTTTTATACCAATAGGAAATGCAAAACAAATGAAACGTTGATGATTGATGAAACAATTTATTCTAAAATAAAGGTTCACATGTCACTCAGGCGTGTTCAAAAATGTGCAGCGTCATTTTAGAGATGGGTCGGACTTGTTGTGACGATGTTTGAGTTTTAAGTTGGCGTGATTCTCAAATGTTGTTAATGCGGCAAATGTTGTTGATGTTTCTCATGTCGTTGATGTAGTAAATGTTGTTACTATAGCTCATGCTGTTAATGTGGTATGGTATTTGATGTAGTTCATGTTGCTGATGCGATTAATGCTGTAGATGTAGTTAACACTGATCATTTATTAATTTGACTGGGTGAACCATGAGTTTGAATGGAACTTACTTTAATATAACAATTAGGCTACAAACATTTAAAAAACTGATGTTTACGACAGATCCTTAAGATAAGATGGCCAGACAAAATTTTAAATGAAGACATGTGGCAAATTACAAGACAACAGCAGATTGACGGGGACATTAAAGCCCACCAATGGGGATGGATAGGGTTATACCCTGAGAAGGGGAGAGTATAAACTCGAGAGGAAATGAATGTTCTGGAAAACCCAGGGGCAGAGGAAAGTAGGCCAGACAAGGCAATACTGGAGAGGGACAGTGGAAGCAAAAGCTGCTTGAATTACGTGGGTGCAAATTAAGAGAACTGCCCGAAACCGAGTCCAGTGGAGAGGTGTGGTTGCAGCCCTTTGCTCCCCATGGCCCCAAAGGAATAAACCAAGTTATATAATTTGATGTAAGAAGAAAGGATGATTCTCACTGTAACTTTTAATTGTTGCTTGTAACCAAATTTGGTGCCTTGTTATATTATTATAGACGTGCAGTAATGCAGTCAATGTTCCTATCAAATAAGCATGTTAGACATTCTTTAATTTAATTTATTGTCCCACAAAAAAGCCGCAATATATATATATATATATATATATATATATATATATATATATATATATATATATATATATATATATATACATACATATATATATATATATATATATATATATATATATATATATATATATATATATATATATATATATAAAAGCATTTTCCTAATACGAAGTCATAATTTTCTTTCTGTATGGCATTTTTTGTTCTTGCTGCTATCTGCCGTATATTAAGTTATATGCAAGTAGAACACTCTCACCAGAAGAACTACCAAGGGAAGCAACTGTCGTTTCGTTGAATTTAGGTGCTTACCCTTAGAGTTAGAGGGTGTATGTATAAATTGTACATGAATATTCCAGTGGTGAAGGAATTTCTTGTTATGAATATGATGGAGAAACAGTTGTTTCATCGTAAATAATCTGCTGTTCCACTTCTGCGACTACACTATATAAGCCACCTCCTGACCTTCTTGTCATCTTTTCTGGTACTTTTGGGAAGGTTCCTTTGTTTTGTATGTCACTGGTTCATTTCCTTTAGAAAATGTATCCGTTGAACTTATTATATCTGGTATTTTAAAACTAGAACTTTATTTCTTTTTTGAATCTTCTTGTAGTGCTATGGATAAAAATCATCTGGAGCAACTCCTGGACTCTGCACTGAGTGGACTCCAGTAGTAAAGATCATAGGCGTAGCGACGGGGGGGGGGGTGCATATGTCCCCGGGCGCCGACCCTAGGGGCGCCAGAATAAGCTCATTTTAGCTGCTATTTTGAATTATAAATATAAAAAAATATATGGGGGGGGGGGGGCGCCAAATTGAAAGTTTGCCCCCGGGCGCCGAGAGGGGTCGCTACGCCTCTGGTAAAGATGACCATATAGTGTAGCAATCTCAAACAATTCTTCCCCACTGGGCTCTTTGCGTTTTTATCAGCATCATCATTCCCTCCTTTTTTTCTTCTTTTATTTGTAGTTTCGGATTATTTACTCCGTTTGTCACATTGAATGAAGAGAGTGCACGTGGGACCTAATTGTCGACTAAAATCGTAAAAACAAAAATATTATTTAGTATAGGAGGTTGGATCAGTTAAGCCAGTGGTTCCCAACCTTTTTCGAGTGGCGACCCCCTTTCATAAAACGTAAGTGACCCGCGACCCCCATAGAATTAACAAGTCGAAATTAGTAAAGAAAATAATAAGCACTAAATTAATATTTTCTAGTAGACTTTCAATATGAATTATTCTTGATAACTGTTTTAATACGATGAGCAAAATTACATGCTATTAACAAGCATTAACTAGCATTAACAATTAAATTTTGCAAATCTAAGAATTCCTCTTGTTATTCATCGGCAATGCTGGTAACATCAAGGAAAGCAGAGAATGGGTGACAATGCAGATTCTTCTTCTTTCAGCTCGAGGAAAATAACGCCGCAGTTTGTTGTCAAGAAATTCAAGATGCACAGAATCCTTTTAAAATTTTATCTATCACACTACACTGCAGAGTTTCTCAAACATGGCAGAATTTCAAATATTTATTTTTCCTCGCCAATTTTGCAGCTTTGATAAAAATGCCAAAAGATTATCATGAAAAGAGATAATATTCGTTCCTTTATCAGGTTAGGTTAAGCTTATGTTGATGTTCGAATATATCTGCTAGGCATGATACTCTCTCCAACCACACCGTGTCGTTAAAGTATATCAAAAGGTCTTGTTTCCTTGCACTTCCAAGAACATCTTGATTTCATCTTTCAATTCAAAACACGATTCACATTTCCTATTGACAGCCGGCGTACTGAAGTGTAGAACTTCGTGATCTTTATTCATGTCTTTGCACAGTTCTTGAAACAGACAGGTGTTTAAGGCTCCAGATTTAATATAATTTACGACTTTTATTAGCAATGGAGTCGGATAAGTCTTGCTGGCGAGGGCATACCGGCGAATCATGCAGTGGATTCCCCATCATTAGGGAGCTAAATCTTTTACCTTTTTCTGTTTTCTGAAAGCCCGATTTTGACCCAACCATGACGCACCATCCGTACAAGCCCCACAGCCGTTTTCCCCATTTTAATCCTCCAGTTTCAAAAAACGTATTTATTTTCTCCATGATATCTTCACAAAACATCAACTCTTATTTGCTAACATTTGAATGAATATATTTCACAAAGACTGCGAACACGAACTCACGTCTGTCGATTCGTCAACTTGAAAATCAAACAATTGTGAAAGCTTGATTTCATTCTAAATTTGTCTTTTAACATAAGCCGCTGCATAGTATTATTAGACAGAGATATTTGTTGCATCTTTACTTCACTGGAATCCCCAAGAATTAATTTTACCATCTTCAGCATACATGGTTTGATGAGATTTTCTCCTTTGTGTGAGAGGTTTTTTGCTTGGCAATTTCTAATACTACTTCATATGATGCTTGCACTAATGCTGTGTTTTCTTGGTGAAAACGTTCTGTTCGATCAAGTCTCTGACGTTTGCAACTAGCTTCATGCCGACGAAAGAACTACATATCTTTTTTGGTGTGTTCCGAATGACTCGTCTCAAATTGACGTTTGGAAGTTTTCATAGACTCCTGACTAAGAACAACTTTGCACAGTACAAATTGTTTATTCTCTATTCCATTTCCAGTGATGATAGTAATGCCGAATTTCAAATATTTTTCTAAATATTTGTTTTTTTATTCATTGCTAGAGTTTAGTCTACCAGTTGGCGACCCCCCCCCCCCCCCCCAGAAAGCCTTTCGCGACCCCCAAGGGGGTCGCGACCCCCAGGTTGGGAACCCATGAGTTAAGCTCATGGTTGCTCAATCGAAAAGTCCCGGGCAGATGAGGCTCGATATCCGGGAACAGCAACTCTTCAAGGAGAGATAACTCCAAAATCAAACAACTGTTGCCTTGTAGTTTGTTCTTGGTTGGACAAAGGCTATGGAAGCAAATCCAAAAAGAAAAGCAGGCTGCGATCAGAGTCAATGCCCTATATGGCGCATAACAAGTTGACATGTAATAATTACTTGTGTTCGGAGTTTCTTCCAGGCATCTCTTCCAGGCTGAGCCCACCCCCCCCCCACCCCCACTCCCCGAAGAAAGTCTACCGCCTTCCCCCCCCCCCCCCTCCCGAACGAGATGGAATTTACTTTTACTAGTGTCCGCCCCCCCCCCCCCCCAGGAAAATGTTGACCGCCCCCCCCCCTCCGAAAATATCAAGTGCCGCCCCTTCCCCCCCCCCCCCCCCCGGAGAAAAAAGTCTGGAAGAAACATTGCTTGTTTTGGAGGGAATGCCTTTCATAACTAGAAGTAGAATTATCAAACGAAATATTGTTGCAATATATCGTCTCTATGAAAAATGACTCGCATTAATGTAGTGTGTGAATACAAACGAAATACATCATAGAGGGCGTTAGTATCACAACAAGTAGTATGCTACTGATAATTTTACACTATTATCCATTTAAATGTAAACGGCATTGTTGTGTTGAAAGAATTTCAAAACAATACGTCATACGTTGTGCTCTCTCCCCCCACCCCAACCAAATTATCCTATCGTCACATTTCTTTATTAAAAGCCAGCCCCTCTTGAATGACGTAACAAACTTAACCCCCCCCCCCCCCACACACATATATATATATATATATATATATATATATATATATATATATATATATATATATATATATATATATATATATAAACAACCAGAAATCTATATTAAAAAACTAAAATTTAAAACCTTAATTTTATCAAATATATTCGACATTGTATTAATTGAAACCCTTTCCCCCTCTCTATTTAGCATATTGTCACAAAAGTTTCAACCTTTCCACCCACCTCCCCCGTTAGATGGCATTAAGTGGATATTTTCGCTGTTGGCCCCCATGATCGATTACAAACACTGCAGGTCGGCAAGGGGTACACAGTGAGTATTAGAATCGCCCAAGTGTATAATTGATATTCGATACTGCTAAAATAACAATCAGAAAAATCTGGGATACGATACTGCTATAAATAATGAATATCAAAATAGCCATAGGGTAACCTCCGGATACGAAACGACATGACTGGCTAATGTGCAGCGAACCGGCACTCAGTGAACGAGAACAGTTCACAAAAACATTTTTTATTTTTGTTAGCCTGATATTTGTATTCACGATGTAGACTTGGCAGGTTTGCATAAGAAAACATCAGCCCAGGCGCCTCAAACTAGGTCGCCGAGACTTGCTTGGCTAGTTCACTCGGCCGTAGAGGGTGAACACGCGTTCTACCTATACCCCTCACACACTCCCCCCTTTTCACAAACAACTGTTTCAATAACAAGCACACTTCATATTGAATGTATGTCAATTGTTGGCCTACTTTAATGAACGAAGGCATGAATTTTCGAGACATTTATTTTTCTAGTATAGCTACCTTAATCTCTTAACCACAATACAAGCCCTGCTCCTACTTTCGGCAAAACGAATCTATTTTCCATTTATTTATTTTTTTAATTTAAAAAAAAAAACGTATCTACTTTCCACAACATACTGTATTTGTGGGCATTTTAACTTATGTGTGTTGTGTTTCTTTTTTTTTTGTTTTTATTGTATTTATATGTGTCTGTGTGTATATGTGTGTCTTCCTTGTGTACATTCGCGTGTTTAAGAATAGACATAAATTCTTCTTAGATAAAAATAGTAAAAGGGAGCGCGGGTTGCCCCAACAATTTTTTTTATTTCAACAAAGTACCAAAAAGTAATTTTAACGCATCTTAGGCTAAGCCAAGAAAAGTGCAGATTATACGAGAAATGTAGAGAGTAGTCTAACCTGACAGCTGGTAGCCTGCACAATCTAACTACAATTACCTGCAGAAAAAAAAAATGTATAATTGGACCGTAAATTGACGGACAAGTGATCGAAACTTTTTAACAAAATTATTATACTAAATGACACATTTTTGTTGTTTTAGAGCTCCTTTAAATTTAAAGTTTATAAATAGCTTTTCGTGTGAAGATTCGCGTAGCTCCTCTCAAGAAATGTAAATTAAATTAAAGTCATTTCATCAACTTGATTATTCATTTGCTGTCATTCTTTGAACTAACAAATTTTAAAAGCTAATGGTTTGGAAGTAGTTACTTTTTTTTTCTTATAATATAAAATAACTTTTGCTAATCAATTAAGTTACTAATTAGCAGTCAAACAAACGTTTTATTTTTTGTTTATAATAATAGAGAAAATAAACAAGTATTTATACAGAACTACGCATTGGTTTATTATTTTATTTCAATTTAAAAAGGGGCCAATTTCCTCTAATAAACGCGGTCACCATTTCATGCACTTCGGCAGTAGAAAGATGAAAATATTCTATTATGCTATTTTCAACACACGGATAAGTAGCTCGCTATACTTTAACATGGCATTCTGTTTAAAGGTAATATAGAATTAATAGTTATATAAATATTGAATTAAAATATATCTTCTTATGGAGAAAGTGGAATATTTTTTAATTAATTATTTGAAATGGCGAAAAAAAATTTTTTTTTTCCCAATTGTACTATGAGTAGAATGAGTTGTATGTTTTGAAATCAGATTTTGTTTGTTTTGTGCATAGTAGATAAATGATAATTTCGTTTAGGCCGAGATTTTTGCGTGTTTTAAATGTGTTAAAACTAAGATTGAAAACAGCCGTTAACATTTTTCTAATGGGGTGGGGGGGGGGGTATGGACTGGTTGAATTATATGTTTTAGAAATAAATTCGATTTCGTTCGCGGAGTGGGGTGGTGTAAGTGCTTCAGGGGGCAGGGGGATGACAGCCCCCTTTCCCTCCCTCCTCTCACCCCCCTTCCCCGCACGAAAAGATGTATGAAAGAAACTCTGGCGTAAGGTACGAGTCCACACTTCTCCACCAGTAACGTGTGTAACAGCATCTCAATGAGTCTGTGTTGAGAGTTCACTGCTAGCCTCTGATAGTTTTTGTTCTTGTCTAGATGCACGGACAAGGGCGCTAGTCCACAGCAAAGGCTAATCCAGATCCTAATAACTGTCACGACGGTATTGAAAGCTATATATTTTCACATTCCATAGCATTGAAATAGACAGACAAAAACATTGATGTAACAATGTTATATTGCTGGTAACACGGTTTTGTGGATTTGTGATATCAACTTGGCAGTAACACTTCCTTGTTGAACTTTATAACTTTATTACAATTATGTACACCTTGAGGTGGAGACAATAAATTATACATTTATGGTTGGAATACTACAGGAACAATTCACAAACGAACTAACGTAGTAACGGCTTACTTTCTTCTATACAGGCACAAATCTTCCCCTTGCATTCCTTGAGGTTGCCACCCAAACATCCCATTCCCCCAGGTTATATACACTCTTATTCTCTCACCCCAGCAGAGTTTCTTCCAGGCATCCCTTCGTCCCCCCCCCCCCCGTCCCCATGAAAAAAATGTATACAATTTATACACAAAGTATATACTTTTACCAGTGTCCGCCCCCCCCCTGGAGAAAATACCCAAACAATCATGAAAATACGATAATTGATCGCTCACGCATTCACTTCCGTTGGCCAGGTATTCAACTGTCACACGCGATTCACTACAAACTCAATATACAAAAGTACAGTCTATTACAATAGACATAGACATCATGGGCATAGTCATGGACATGGACCTGGGGGCTTCGCATATATGTTAACACTTAATCACACACACACAATCATATATATATATATATATATATATATATATATATATATATATATATATATATATATATATATATATATATATATATATATATATATATATATATATATATATATATATATATAAACATATAAACATTCGACTTGGCGCTTAGATAAGATTTTCGGTAGTAAATTAGACCACTTCTTCTCTCAACATTTTTTGTGTTAATACTTGAAAGCACTGTCCGGATAACTAAGAGCCATGCTAATCCTGATACCTGCACCCCACCGCCATCACAAAACTCATTTTAATCTACTGGTTCTGTTGGCCATAAATGACCTTTGACCATATTATTGACCACAAGGGGGTTTGACCTTGTTAGGTTTGACAATGGGGGTTTGACGACCACAGTGGTTAAACGTTTTATGGTCAAAGCACCTAGCACCAGCTTTTAAGCCGATTTTTAATAGGTCAACACAAACCAATCCTCCCTACCCTAAAATGATCAGGGTTTCTATTAGATATATTTCTTATTGAGGGGGACTGGTTAAAGTTTATATCTTCTGTAAAAAAAAATTCTATTTCGCCAGGGGGACAGAGGCGGTGGGCGTATTCCGGATAGATACCAAAAATAAAAACCACCTACCCTCCCCCCACCCCTCACAAATATGAACTGAGCTGGGTTTAGATTAATGAATTTTTTTTTCTTGCAGTATACTTTAAAAATCCATTTTTTTTTAAATTAATCTTTAAAAAGTTTCACGCCACACTTTCTAAACCCCTTCGCAAAATCCTCCCCCCCCCCCTCCCCTCGCCCCCCAACAACCCCAAAATTGGACGTTGTTTATGGTAAAAAAAATATGACGTACATGCTGGAGTGCTGCATCGTTTTTTTTTTAAATCTAGTTATGAAAACCCGTAGCGTTGTACATGACTTAAAAGTGCTATTAACCCCCACCCCCAAACCTTTTTACAGGTACCACCCCCCTCATTACACACACACAACACATACAACTACAGCACCATTTCCTCTGGTTACATACACATTGCCTTAGTTTTATTTAGACGAAAGCGAGTTATTATCCTGTGTCAGCAGGTGTTGAAAGCAACTAGCCATGTGTAGTGCTGTTATGAATTGTGGTGAACTCAATCGTAGCGCTATTTTTATTATATCTATTTCAATGCCACGTAGAGTACACGAACTATTTGTGTTGACGGATGCATTAGCTGGAGGCATTCGGTATTTTGTTTACGGTAAACAGATGAATTTTACTAGAAGCCCCCCCCCCCCCCCCCGTCGCTACGCCCCTGTATATCATGTGACTTCTGGGACTCTGGGTAGTTGCGACTGTGTCGACGGCATAAAACCCCAGGCTGGGGATTACCAGGAATTGTTTTACCAGGAATTGTTTTAGGACATGTAATTGCACTTGTAGTTGGACTTGATCTACATTCTACCTATGTACTTGCAATTCTGGGTATGCAATAAATAAGGATGCGGAAGCAAGCAGCGTCGTTGGTTTTGTTATCTCTCAGGGTCAGCCTGTAAACACACTCCACCTAAGTGGGTGACATCACACCATATCCTCATAGACGTAGTGTTACATTAACCATACTCCGCCTCAATGGGTGATATCACACCATATCCTTATAGAGGTAGTGTCAGTGGCGTAGCGAGGTCGGGTGTCACCCGGTGCGGCACTTGATGGTGTCACCCCCCAGAGGCGTAGCGACTTTTCCCGGGGACAAACTTTCAAGTTTTCGATTCGCACCCCCCCCCCCCCCCCTCAAGTTTTTTATTTGCACCCCCCTCAAACTTTCGATTTACACCCCCCCCCTCAAGTTTTTCTCTATATATTTTGCTATTTTTTGCCTTGGTGTCACCCCCCTAAATGGTGTCACCCGGTGCGGTCCGAACCCCCCGCCCCCCCCTCGCTACGCCCCTGGGTAGTGTTACATTAACCACACTACATCTCAGTGTGTGATGACATCATACCATATTCTCATTGAGGTAGTGTTACATTAACCACACTACACCTCAGTGTCTGATGACATCACACCATCTCCTCACTGAGGTAGTGTCACAATGACAAAATGAGAGAATAAATCAATGTCTTTTAATAAATAATAAAGAATTACTATTTAAAGGACTAAAAATAAAAGCTTGGGTCGATTCTTAAAATAATTGTTGTCTACAATGAAATACTTTATGAAGCAGGGGTATATGCTGATGTTGTGTATGCTGTGGTTGGTTATACTGAAGTATATCAATGGTCACACAAAGAATGACTGGATACCGTTTAGCAGTAATAATATAGCCTCGCTGTGATTAGAATTTAGTCGGTAGAAGGATCTGCGCCACTTCACTAAAAGTCATTGAAGTGTGTTCAATAATACTATGTAAATATTATTAAGGTCTGATGACTTCGCTACAACTCAATGTGCTCAGTTAACTGCCTTATTATTGATTAATGATTATGCTGGCAACTGAAATGAATAATCAGGTTCGATGACTACGGCAGTGCTTTACACTGAAGTTCTTTATTAAACAGTAATACATTATATGACGTAAGGTGTAACGGTGCTTGATCTTGTATTTTGCTTTGTTTGTTTTGTGGTGTATGTTAAAGCGTTGCACGCTATTGTGCTCTATGTTGTTGTGGTGTAGTTGTATGATAACATGTAGTTATGCGCGTGCCTTTGGTGCTACAATTATTTATTGCTGAAGGTCAGATATACATTACTTAAGCATAGTTATATATTACTGAAAGTCATTTGTATACAGGAGCAGAACTACTATACCGCCAGACATAGCAATGCGGGGAGGGGATGGGGAGGGGGTGGGGATGCAGGCCATTTAGGGGGCCCAAAATCCGAACAAAAATAACCATATAATTACTTTTTGCATCTTGCTAGACTAGTGGTTGGAATATATATATATATATATATATATATATATATATATATATATATATATATATATATATATATATATATATGAGGATCCGAAAATAGTTTTTGTTTGTGGCCTTTTTTCCCCTCAACATTTGTATATATTACCTAATATCCCTTGCATAATATAGTTCTGTTGTAAATCACATATATCATATAATAGCAGTTATATATCACACACACTACTGAAGTAGACACGCCACATTTCATGTACGATAAGAGAAAAAAGATTGTATCAGTCTTTGCGAGTTTCAATCAAATACCCCGCAGTTTGATCGTCACAGCAAAGAGGACACTTGAACCATAGCCAGCAAGCAAGAGATACACCTGGGTAGTTAGGTAGAGGGTCCAATCGGGGGGGGGGGGGGGCATGTCAGGCGTCGACGTATGTTTCATGGGGTGGTGCTGCTTGTAAAGATAACGGGGGGGGGGGGGAGTGGGAGTGGAATAAATTAAATTGTGTGTTCAAAAATCAGGTAGAGAAATATACTTAAACTATTGGCTGTTGGAAAGTCAGCCTTAAGCCCCCCCCCCCCCCCCCTCCTCATAACACGCCTTCTTTGAGTAGCTTGCCATAATAAATCTATAACTACATTAGAATTGACTTGCTGGGGTCCAAAAAGTGCGATCAAAAAGTTCGGAGGAATCAATACACGTGGCCAACAAGTGTGGCCAAAACACGTTGACAAAGCTGTGGCCTAATCCATGGCCAAAAACTGTGTCCATAGCGGTTGCATAAATTGTGCAGATTGTCGACTCAACAGCTTGCGTTGTTAACGTACCCACGTGTGCGAGCCCTTTGCCCTGAGGCCATGGGATTAAGTTATGTTGTGAATCATTTTCACATGCAACAGTCAGTGTTTGTAGTTTTGGTCTTAATCTCGTGTTACACGCTTACTAACACTCTAGTTTACATCAACAAACACTCTAGTTTACATCAACAACGTTCGAGAGTTCATTTAGTCGCCGTTTAGTCGATGTTTTAATAACGCAAAACAATGGTTTGGTGACATGTTTGCTCATCTTATGCAAATCAATGTATCAATGTCACGTCAGATATTTTTTAATTGGCGATGTTTTTTTGTACTTGCCACTATTTTTAGATGTACCAGTTTTAGATGCTCTACAGGCTTTAACTGAGCCGATGTGTCTTTGAATGTGCTAATGCTTTTCCATGCCTTAATGCTTTCCAATGCTTCAATGCTTTCCAATGCCTCAATGCTCTCAAATGGAATAATGACTAAAAATATTGATCGAGACAGTTTTAAGAATGAGACGATACTGTTTAGAGCAGTGATTCTTAACCTGGGTTCGATCGAACCTCATTGGTTCGATAAGTCAGTCTCATGGGTTTGGTGGAGATCAAGACACACACCTGACGATAATGCTTCACGATCGGATTTTGTCGACGCGGAAAATAGAACTATTAAGAAGAGTTCGGTGGATGCGCATATTAAACTTGTGGAGTTTGGTACCACCAAAAAAATTAAGGACCGCTGGTTTAGAACTCTAATGTCTAGTTTCATTCTTATTTAAATTAATAATTTTCAACCGTATAAGTTTTTCAGAGCCCATCACATCTGCCGGAGAAATGTTGCGGCAGTGTTGGCATTCACTCTATCAGCTGTTCTTCTTTACTACCAACTTAAATTCCCATTCACTGCCACAGACTCGGGAGCTGAAATAGCGCATGTCAGACATGTTGGCGACGTTCGGAATGTGGGCCAACACTACTCTCACGTCAGAGAAAAGCTGCAAACAAATCCGAACCAGAACACATTTTTGGACAAAACTTTTATCCCTGCAACAAAAGTGCCATCGTTCACTCCTATTAATGACGTCCTGGCGAAACAAATGTGGGACGGCAAAAATGAAACGTGTAATCAGACGTGTCAGTCCATCATCGCACAAGTCATACGGTCAGGTTCAAGTATTCAGAGGCGTGTCACTAAGGAAGGTGTAGAGGAATGGATGGAGAACGGCGTCATCTTCCGTCAGCCAGTGCCAACCAAATCAACCGACCCGTACCCAAGCCCATACGTCCCTGAGTTGGAGCCTTTTGTTCCGTTTAATTCCTCCACGTTTTTTGAAGACCAGCGGGAAGCCCGAGCTGTGATTGGCAAGAAAAAAATAATTCTATGGTACATACCAACACGGTATTGGCCAAAGATGGACAGCTTAAACCCCTTAAGGTTTTGTCCAGATTTTCCTTGTGTGATAACTACAAATAAAACGTTTGCTGAACAAAGTGCTGCGATGGTTTTTCCAGGTAACTTAACGTTAGCTAAACACAACTAATAAAATTTACATTGAAAACATAGAAAAAGCCAAGCTTGATAACTAATGAAGCATTAAACGATACTTTTATAATTAAAAACTTGCTATTGGCGACTGAGTCAGTATTAGATCAGAAAAAACGTAGCCTCCGGCAGCCCTTGCACAGCTGGTAAAGCAGCTATTGTCAACTTTAATTTAATTCTCAATAGCTGGTTGTTTGGGGGTTTGTAGCAAATCTTGTAACTAAGTTTTGTAACTCAACTTTCCAGACACACGTGTCTTTGACGAAATTGCAAGAATATTTTATTATGAATCTAATAATATATTTAATTGGTCACTAAAGTAGTAGCATACAAATTACTTAATTGAATAATAAAAGGAGATATCTATCTGAAGAGACTTTAATCTACAGCGTGTCACTGCAACTCCGGCTAAACCCATAGTGGTAAAATCTTTGTCTGGATTTTAAAAAAAAAGATATAAGCAACGAATCATAACTTTGTTACATAAAAAGAACGTTGAGCCAATCTCTATAAAAAAAACTACTCTAAATTATTAAAAAAAAATTCCTCCAAACTAAACCTAACTTAACAAAATAACGAAACAAAACATTATAACCAAACCAAACATAACTAAAAACCCTGTCATGTAACTACAGGTAACCACCAAGTGGCTACAATCGCCTCATCACTTTCCCCCTGTTAGATATCTTCTAGTGAAAAATAAAGATCTCACTGTCTTTCGACTTAAATACCCCAACGACGCGGTACACTCAACTCAACCCAACTGACACACAACTTTCAAACAAATAGCCCCCAAAGAACGTTAACCACTAATAAAAATAAAACACTACTCTGTGAACAATAGAAAAAAAATTAAACAACTTAAAATTTCGCTACGCACATTTATTTTTTTAAATGTTCAGTGTATTTAAAATTTATTATTGTAAAGGTTTTTTAAATAAGAGTTTTGTTTTTAGCTTCACAACACCGTGCCTTGTGTATTCAACCTAGCTCTCTTTCATTATACTTGCTACTAGCACGCTCATAAGTCAACAAATCACGACGGTTCAACATCGCTCTTGGTAAACAGAACTAGCATTTGTAAAGTACCTTAACAAAAAACTAAATAATAATCATTAAAAAAGTTTTTAAAAACCCACGTTTTCTGATTGAACTTAAAAGGAGAAAATAAATACTATACATCACAATAATGAAAGCGATCACTCTACTATAAGCGATGAAAAACGTGGGGCGCCGAAGTAAAAGTTATATTACTATTGATTAGATAATACTATTGACTTTTATTAGGGAGCTTGTAGAGAGTCAACAGTATTAGAAACTGTAAGAAAATCACGGCGCCCCACCTTTTTCATCGCTTATAGTAGAGTGATCGCTTGCATTATTGTGATGTATAGTATTTATTTTCTACTTTTTAGTTCAATCAGAAAACGTGGGGTTTTTTTTAACTTTTTTAATGATTATTATTTTCTACTTTTTAGTCTTTGTCTGTTTGTTTGCATTGAAATCTTGCTATCGATTTTATCTTTTCACCTTTTTTTGGGTAAACGAAGACAACTCGTAAAAAGACAACTCGTAAAAAACGAGAGACCCTTTCTTCTTCGGTCTCAATCGCAAGTGAATGATTGTCAGAGGTTAGTTGATAGCGGTTAGGACGAGGGCTGGTTACTGACTAGAACACATAGATTTGAACCCGTGTCGAGTGGGATAGCAATCGTGTGCCCAACCACTCGACCATATCGTCTCCCCCAAACTGGCCACCAGTGGTAATAGTTACCTCCTGTAAGTTTAAAGTCGGTTCAAACTAAATTATCTGCCCCTAAGCCTGTGGCGACGTGGGATCGTTCGCTTCACTGCGCGCGAGGTACGCGTCGCTCGTTTTTTTCTAAAGGCTCGCAGAGGAGAATTATATATATAGATTATATAGCGGTCTAAAATGCTCAATAAAATGTTTCCATTGATCAATTTAGTAATAATAACAATTGAATATTCTATGGTCATCCAAAAGAAAGCTTCCCTGAAAATTTCAGCGCGCTAGCTAACTGGGAAGTGCCAGAAATTTCGATCGCAAGATTTGATTGGAAAAACAAACAAACAGAGAAAGCAATATGGTCGAGTGGTTGGGCACACGATTGCTATCCCACTCGACACGGGTTCAAATCTTTGTGTTCTAGTCAGTAACGTATTCACACAACGTGTTTTTTACGAGTTGTCTTTTTACGAGACTTTAATGCTATACAACTTTTACGAGATTTTAATGCAAACAAACAGACAAAGACTAAAAAGTAGAAAATAATAATCATTAAAAAAGTTTAAAAAAACCCACGTTTTCTGATTGAACTAAAAAGTAGAAAAATAAATGCTATACATCACAATAATGCAAGCGATCACTCTACTATAAGCGATCAAAAACGTGGGGCGCCGTGATTTTCTTACAGTTTCTAATACTGTTGACTCTCTACAAGCTCCCTAATAAAAGTCAATAGTATTATCTAATCAATAGTAATATAACTTTTACTTCGGCGCCCCACGTTTTTGATCGCTTATAGTAGAGTGATCGCTTGCATTATTGTGATGTATAGCATTTATTTTTCTACTTTTTAGTTCAATCAGAAAACGTGTGTTTTTTTAAACTTTTTTAATGATTATTATTTACATAAAAGCTTGTTATTAAAATGTTTTTTAATGAATTTTTTTTTAATTTTCTAATTTTTAATAATTTGCTTTAATGAAGTCGACAACACTTACGACTAAAATATTTGCTTTAATACTTGATCAAAAGCTTGCGATCTCTAAAAGACTATTATCTGCCCCTTCTAAGTACGTGGTCGATTCTCATGCAAGAAACCAGCTAACCGTCACCTTCAATGTCGACAGCTAGCGATCGCTAGTATTTAGTCTTGTTATCTCACTTTTTATTACTGAAATTATTAGTTTAAAAATAAATTTTAATGACAAATCTATAGTCTAATTAGATTAAAAAATAGATACTCTTGCATTGTCATTGGAGACGAATTTATCTGGAAGGTAGGAATCAAATAGCTGCATCAGAAGTTGGTTAATTTTTAGTTACAAGATTTGCCACAAACCCACAGACAAACAAATAATCAGACAAACAAACAGACATTTTGAACTAAATACAAGTTAATAAAAACACATTGAGTATGTTATCTAACTTATCTACAAATTATCAAATTCACCAGGTGAACTTCTTCGAACACCTCCACCAAATCGTCGTCCAGAACAGGTGTTTATTTTTAGCAACCACGAGCCACCCAATGAGCAATGGTGGGCTCAAAGTGCAATCAAGGACAAGAGCATCGGATGGAACACTGTCTTCAACTGGACCATGACTTACAGAATGGACTCTGACGTCACTTCCTTGTATGGAATCTTACGAAGGCGGTTTAAACCGATCACTCGAGATTATAAATCTATCCTGGCCAAAAAGACAAGGAAAGCTGCCGTGCTTGTTAGTAACTGTAAAACGTCGGGGAAACGAGAAAAATATATTGCAGAGCTACAGAAATATATTTCTGTAGACGTATACGGCAAATGTGGAAATTTTTCATGTCCTCGGTCAGATGATGATAAGTGTTTCCAAAACATCGACACCAACTACAAATTTTATTTATCATTCGAGAGTTCAATATGTGAGGACTACATAACGGAAAAGTTCTTTAGGTACACAAGCACCAACACCATCCTAGTAGTCCGTGCAAGCAATGAGTACTCACGCCACGCCCCTCCAGAAGTTTTCATCAACACGGCAGATTATGCCAGCCCTAAAGAGCTCGCGGACAAGCTGCTTTACCTGGACCAACATGACAGCGAGTACATCAGTTTTTTACAAGAGAAGGACAAGTACGTTGGTATCTATGAAGACTATCCAATCAGAGAAGAGGATGGGCGGATACGTTACATGCATTATCATTACGAGGGCGTGGCATTTTGTCAAGTATGTCAAAGGTTGTGGAACCTTCAGTCATATTCTAAAACAGTTCCAGACGTTAAGGAATGGTTCACAAAAAAGATGTGTCATCCACCCAGTGATATTTGATCGTGTTGCTGTCCATTGACATGCCTTTTTTTTTTAGTCATTGCCAACCATTTTAATTAAATTTGTATTATTACTTTTTGCCAAATGGCTGTAGTATTGTAAGATAACAAATAACACTGCACAATAACTTGAACATAGCCTGTTATATGAGCAGTATTTATTTGACCACATTGGTTACCGTCCAGATGACAAATGATTATTTTGACTTCGTTCACACGGCTAGGCGGTTGTTTTTTGTTGTTGTTTTTTTTTAAACCAGGGGTCGCAACTTCAACAACAATAGACCGCATGACTGACAGGGTTCGTTCCCTTACGTTCTTACACTTGTACGACACAAAAATAAGGACATTTCTTTATCTACGACGGCCGACCCCATGTCTGTTTTTTTTAGTTGTTTAACGTTGATCTCACTTTTATCTTTCTTTCCGTGTCTACCAACTGCTTCCCCCTTTATTTCTAAGCCCACTAAGTTATTCCTCCTCTCTTTATTTCTAAACCACTAAGTCCGTCCTTCTCATTCCTCCCCAGATGGGTAATTTTCTCCACTTCAACTAGATCTGACATCGATATTAAACTTGGATTCACTTTGATCAATTTTTTTTTATTGCAGTGCCGTAGGCGGGGGGGGGGGGAGATTAACCAACCCCCTCCCCCGTGTGTTACCTAACGTTACGTTACATGCATGGGCAATACTGCCCTCGTGTCGTTTGTGTTTACTTCTTCTTTCTTCTTAATTCTTAATTGTAATATTTAAAGAGATTTTCTCACACACAATCTCTTTCTGGATTTGCTTCCATCGCCTTTGTCCAACCAAGAACCAGCTTACAAGGAAGCTGGTATTTTTTTTCGAGTTGTCTCTCCTAGATGGTCTGCGAAACACAATAAAATAAAATAATTATTAAAAAAATTATTAGGGTAAAGATTTTAAATTCACTGAACATTCAAGCATTAAACAAACTTAATTTTCTTATTACGATTGACCGCGGATCAAATATTTTAAATATTTTATTGACGAATGCTTTTTCTATTAAAAGCAAGTTTAAAATTGTTGTTTTTTTTTAAATCTCACTGCATTACAAAATAAGTTTGTATAGTTGTTTTATAAAGCCGATAATAAAAGATTCTAATTCTATACACTCTAAACTCTAAAAAAAACAACATGAACTGACTTATTCTTTTGTGGCTCATGAGAGCAAAAGGCTGCAGTAACACCTCTCCATCGGACTCGGTTTTGAGCGGCTCTCTTTATTTACGCTCTCTGGCCGACATCCATGGTCTTTATATCTTCTACTTTCCTGTTCCAGGATTTCCTTGGCCCTCCTATTTTCCTCTGGGGATTCCAGAATAATCCTTTCCTTTTGATGTTATCCTCTCCCCTTCTCACGTTATACACTATCCATCCCATTTGCGGGCTTTAATGCTCCTGTCTATCGACTGTTGTTTTGTGTGTTACCACATGTTTTTATGTGATATTTTGACTGGCCATCTTATATTAAGGATGTTTCGTAAAAATATGTTTGTGAACGTCTGCAGCCTGCCTGTATTTGTGTTTGTAACCATAATATTAAATTCGATTTTAAAATATCATGACTGAAAGTGATCTATTGATTTATAGTTTACCTTGAGACATACAACCTTGTTGGTTTACCTGCTGTATAATGAGCCGATATTGCCCCATTATTTATTTTTTGGTATGGCGCCCAAAGCAATGCTTAAAACAATCGTTATTTTTTTTATATGGCAAAATAAAAAACACAACCCTGTGATCCTGTTTGTAATAATGTAAAAATGTGTTTTTATAAAAAAAACCTTTTGGTAACAGGCTGTTATATAATTGTGCACTAAAATGAAGAAAATCAATGATTTTCTTTAAGTATGTATGTAATAATAAATCAATGTTTGAATAACTAAACATAAAGGCGTTAGTCACTTCTTTAACTTTTGTAAGGATATTCAATACATAGTGTGTGATCCACGCTTTTCATTTTAGTTATTTAAATAGTGGTTAATTGTTAAACATTTAAAGTAAAAAAATTATTTTTTCTATTGCATAGTTATATGAAAACTTGTTATCAAAACGTTATTCCGACGTCTTTTAAAATGAATTGACACTTCATTCTACTTGGACAGAGATGAACATTAAGCTAAGACAGAGATTGTTATTTAGAGGGGAAGTTTGATGTTATTTCCGGGGAGGGGGGCTGAATTTTGTACTACACAACAATTTGTTTTAAAGCATTGTTCTTTTTAATTCTATAAATTCTAAACATTGTATTTAAAAACAAATAATTAAGCATGCTCTGTAATTCATATAATTTTTTTAGATCATATTTTCACAAAAAGATTGCGAATCAAAAAATTATTTTCTTATTTTGGACAATAGGCTAAAAATTCTATGTAATCATACTAAATTTTAAAAGTGTTTTTAAAATAAAATGGCAAGCGGTAAAATTATAGTTACATTTAAAAAAATTAAAGCTGTATGGGAACCAGCAAATTTATTACACTCATTTTCATATTTTATATTGAATATTAGTCGTTGAAAAGCCGTTTTGAAATATTTTATAAATAAATATTTTTTTTTAAAAAACGGCCCTTAAACCCTCCTTCAAGTCAACCGGAATTGCCAAAAAACGTAAAACAATGAAAGTCACAACATCGTTTTCTATCATAAAATACAATTGTGACAATGGGGTATAGCATGGTAGTTTATTTCTATTAGATAATATAACATCCCCTATTACCACAACACTCTGACTATACTAATCCAAATTAAAAATAAAAGCATAAGCTAAATTACTGTTATACTACTCGTAATTATTTGCTTGAATATTTCTAGTCTTAATAAAACCAGAAGTCATTTTGTAATTATTTCTCAAATGTTATAAAATATTCTATTTTGGTTGAAAAATATTCTTTCTGGCAACAACCAACTTTTCAAGCCTATTATCCCTTTTAATAATAATCTAAATAAGAATTTCTACTACAGGAATACAAAAAAAAAACACGCAACTAATTTTATTTTAATAAAAAATAGAGTTTTATTAGCAAAGCAATGTACAAAAATATGTAGTCACGTTTTTAATTTCTAAGTGGTTACATGTCACAAATGTAAACAAACGCTTTTGAATTTAATTTGTTAATTGCAATATATATATATATATATATATATATATATATATATATATATATATATATATATATATATATATAGGTTGACTTGCCTGAGAGCTATTTTGATCAGGTAATATTTGCAGTTAACGTTTGGGAACTGTGTTGAACTGTGTTATGTTTAAAAAGTTTTGAGGCTTGCTTTCGTACATTGTTCTGTATTAATTTCTTATCCACAAGGACGAAACAATCCTAGAGAACTGACTATGTTTGACGAGGTGGCGAGTTTAAATTTGTGGAACAGTGATATCATCCTATTCTTGATCTTTTAGGAGCTACTTTTTAGCTTGCACTGTGTGTGTTTTAGTGAATATTTTTGTGATTTGTGAATATAATAAAAGCCATAATTTTTTTTAAAAAAAGCCTTTTTCCTTTAAAATGCTATTTTTTATGTGACATTTGTTTAAAAGTATTTCTTAAACTTAATTTAAGAATATTTTTAAAATTTTTAAATACTTTTTTGCAAATACTAAATCAACGTTTTTAATATTTAACTAGGTTTGTTTTAAGTTGTTTGTATTAAATGGCGATTACCAATTAACTTAATAAGGGACACAACAGTCTTGAAATTTCACATTAAAATCATCATGGCATGATTATATCCCCTTACTAAAGTAAAGAAAAAAATTATGCGAGTAATTGAGGGGTGCTAAGTAAAGTAACTTTTTCCCACGTTTTCTTTAACTTGCTTTCTCTGTTTGTTTGTCTTTCCAATCAAATCTTGCGATCGAAATTTCTGGCACTTCCCAGTTAGCTAGCGCGCTGAAATTTTCAGGGAAGCTTTCTTTTGGATGACCATTGAATATTCAATTGTTATTATTACTAAATTGATCAATGGAAACATTTTATTGAGCATTTTAGACCGCTATATAATCTATATATATAATTCTCCTCTGCTAGCCATTAGAAAAAAAACCAGCGACGCGTACCTCGCGCGCAGTGAAGCGAACGATCACATGTCGCCACAGGCTTAGGGGCAGAGAATTTAGCTTGAACCGAGTTTAAACTTACAGGAGGTAGGCCAGTTTGGGGGAGACGATATGGTCGAGTGGTTGGGCACACGATTGCTATCCCACTCGACACGGGTTCAAATCTATGTGTTCTAGTCAGTAACGTATTCAAACAACGTGTTTTTTACGAGTTGTCTTTTTACGAGTTGTCTTTTTACGAGTTGTCTTTTTACGAGTTGTCTTCGTTTACCCAAAAAAGTGAAAAGATAAAATCGATAGCAAGATTTTAATGCAAACAAACAGACAAAGACTAAAAAGTAGAAAATAATAATCATTAAAAAAGTTTTAAAAAACCCACGTTTTCTGATTGAACTAAAAAGTAGAAAATAAACGCTATACATCACAATAATGCTAGCGATCACTCTACTATAAGCGATCAAAAACGTGGGGCGCCGAAGTAAAAGTTATATTACTATTGATTAGATAATACTATTGACTTTTATTAGGGAGCTTGTAGAGAGTCAACAGTATTAGAAACTGTAAGAAAATCACGGCGCCCCACGTTTTTGATCGCTTATAGTAGAGTGATCGCTAGCATTATTGTGATGTATAGCGTTTATTTTCTACTTTTTAGTTCAATCAGAAAACGTGGGTTTTTTAAAACTTTTTTAATGATTATTATTTCGAATCTGGACAAGTAAAGTAGAGTTCACCATACTCTATGGATTGCGGTTTTACACCGTCCATCCGATCGCCATCAAACTTTGGGGAGTTAATTAGAACACTCCAGGGAAGTGTTCAGCAAAAACATCTGTTTTAATTTCGTAAGGGCGGCGCCACGGCAGCGTGCGATTTGTTTTTTCTTTATATACCGTATAT